TAAGCAAGCTCAGTCTCATGGTAGGAACTACCTACTCAAAACCGCAAACCCAATAAAGCACTGCCGAATTCCCAACAAACCTCGATACACTACCGACCGTGTGAAACTGCAGCCGGTGACTATTACACATAGTGCTCCGGCCTATTGAGTGTTACCCGGGTTTGTTGCTCCGACCAGGTCCAGACAGCCATTCGGAAATCCATAGCTATTCGGACCAACCAATCAAACCGCCCAAATGCCAAATTACCGTCATCAGCCCAAAACATACGGATATACGGCAAGCCGCCGAAGACGACAGCCTGCTGCTGTTGTCAACTCGACCTCAAGCATGAATACAACAGCTCCTTTTACTTCGCTTCAGTTCTCTCACACATCAGGACTTATGCAGAATGTCAGGTCGCTGAGAAGTACCCCAACTACTGCAGCCCCTTTCGTAGGAAATATAACAAGGCATGGTCCATCACGCACAATTCTACAAGAGCTCGCGCCTGCACTATAGCATTTCCGGAGACTCATATATACACCGCAGTTAACACAAAATGGCAGGTCCCAGCCGTACGCGCAACCCCATGGACCACAAACCCACAACTTAACCGTCGGCACCCGGCTGTTATCGTGACAAACGGCCGCCCTAGGAAAACAAAGCCGCAGGGTTTAAGTTACCTATCCCAAACACTTCCATCGTTTAAGCAAGAAGACTGCAGGGGGAGCCCGAAGAGGGATTCACAAAGTCAGATCAGGTTGCAGGTAAACTTTTGTTGGTACAGTAAAAGATTCCCTGTTATGTAGCTATAAAAAACGGCACCGTTTACCCTCTAGCTAGGGAAACGGATGATGCATAGCACACAGATCAGTCGTGCCTTGCAACGGAAATGACCGCCAAGCAAAAATGGTTCTGATCAAGTCAAGCATTCGAACTTAGCCATCTCTTCAACAAACCACACCGGTTGCCTAGGTGTATAATGAAGTAATTTTGTTAGAATTTTACTCCTTTTCTTCGTCCTCAAACCTTACTTAAATGACTTAGTCTTGATCCGCCGACTAATCTACTCCCGTCTGCTTGGTCTCCAGATTTCCGACTTCTCTCAGACTACTGCGACGGTACCGGCCAATGTTGCGAAAACCAAACCCCCGGTCTACATTACCTAGAGTGCCTCGTTGGCTTGTCTACTTCTAATCAGTAAAGCTTTCTCCACTTCGACCTTGTCTTTTCCTTTCTGCCTTCTCTGTGTTCATTCTTCCTTCCATCGAACTGCTAACACTCAGTACCCTGCCCTGTCCCAGTCTCATTTGACCGTTCTACTCCCCCAGACTGCCTTCAAACTTACAAAAATGCAACCGGGCTAGGCTCTGCTGACTTACTGCTATGTGCCCCCACCTCGAGTGCCTGATGGAACTGCGCACTCTTTATTACTTCAGCTCCTTCCATTTATAATGTGTTTGTGTCTGCCGGCCCACTTTATTGCTCTTTCCACATTACCTGTACGACTCAGTCGCAATACGCAGATTAAGCAAGTCTTGCCTGAAATATACCTTGCTCTCCGACTTTCTTCAGCTCACTGCTACGTTAACAGTCATTGTTTGGATGGCTGATCGCTTTGTGTGCCTCATTAGCTTCTTCACCATTCTTCTTGACCCAGTACTTTTATTACCGCGCTCTCTGTATGCATCCCAATCCTCAATCGGACAGCCATCTCTCAGTGCCCTGCTAAGACCAAATCTCCTACTCTCTGATTACTTCTACGCTACAGTAACGCAAACCGTCTGGGCTCCGCGGACTCGAGGTAATGCTTCGCTCTCCAACAGCGCCTACTAGGCTTGTTCACTTTTTACTGGTATAGCCAATTTACCCACTTTAAATGTACGGCTTAATCTAGTCTCGACTGATGGGCCACCTGCTCTCCGGACTCACTCAGACATCTGAGACGTAACCCTTATTGCTCGGCTGACCAAATGCATCTGTTGACATTAGCCGGAGAGCCTCGTGGTTTTTCACTCGTTACCAATAAACTTTTCTCATCCCGACCCTAACATTTTCTTATCGCGCTCTGTTTTAATTCTTTTTACAACTGGAGGGCCAGCACTCACTGCCTCGTCGAAAGTTTGTCCCACATAACCAGTCTATTTCCCTTTGACTGCTTCTATGATACCGAAACTTTAAAGATATACGCTCTGCCGACTCATCGCTATGATTACCCTAGCTCAAGAACCTGCGGGACTTGTTTACTTTATATAGTATAGCCTTTATTCGCACCTTTACCATACGTCCTAATATAACGCTCTGACTCATCGAGTCTCGCCAGATCGGCTTCCTGTCCTTTGAATTCACTCGGACTTCTGAGACATTATCTCGCTTGGTTCAATGTCCCAAAGAACTATGTACATTACCTGGAAAGCCCTGTGGGTTTTCCCACATTTTAACGATATACCTATTTCATATTGACCCCAAACTTTCCTTAGCACGCACTTTGTTTTCATTCCTTCTTCAGTCGTGAACTAGTTCCACCTGACCCGTCTACTTCTCTCGGACTGCTGCTATGCTACAAAGACTTAAGCGGCATACGCTCTGCAGTCGCAGCACTAGGTTTTCCCTACCCGAGAGGCTACTAGACTTGTTCACTCTTTATTGTTGTAGCCTTTATCCCACCCTTATGGTACGTGCTCTTCCAAAGCGAAGACTACTCCTGTCCCACTAGATCGGCCTCCTGCTATCCGATTTCCCTCAGGCGTCTTCAACCTTACAAATCTTGGTTCGGCAGAACCAACGTTCTATTTACATCACCTGGAAAGCCTCGTGGGCTTTTCCACTCTTTCACAATAAACACTCCTCACTCTGACTCTAACCATTTTTATCGCTCTTTTTGTTTTTATTCCGTCTTCAACTGGAGTGCCATTTATCACTGCCCTGCAGTCATCTAGTCTCACTATACCAAGCTATTTTCCTCTGACTGCTCCTATGCTACCGAGACTTAAGCGGCATATGCAATGCTGACTAAACCTGGGACATTGTAGGTATCCACTAGTAACTAGCAAGCTTCATCCAAATGCCATTGCTGGCCACTGATTCTCTCCCCTCTAGTTCCATTAGCAATTCTTCGTTTTCTCTTCATTACCTCTGTTCAGCTGCAGCGCTTCATTACAGATAACCTGGATCGTGGCGCTCGGAGCCTTTCTTTATCTCCAACTTTTATTCTCTTGAATTGTTTACATCACATGCCCTCGCTGGTTTGTTGACTTATTCTGCCACTGTAAGTATCCACTGCACGCAGAAGGTTTAATCCGAATGCCGTTCCTCGCCACCGATACTCTTTCTCCTAGCAAAAGTATCGGTTCTTCCTCTTACCTCCATCACCACTTTTCAGCTGCAGCGAGTCATTGTGGGTAGCATACGTCTTTGCGCCAGGAACTACTCCTTATCTCCACAACAGTTATTCTCTTGGATTGTTTGCATCACATTTCCCCACTGGTTTGTTGGCTTATGCTGTCACAATAGGTATCCAATGGCAAGTAAATGGCTTAATTCGGATGCCGCTGCTGGCCACTGATCCTCTCTCTCACAGCGCCACTATCTGTCACACTTCTGATCTCCTTCACCTCTTTGCAGCGATCCGGCGTGGGCCCCATTCACCTCCGCGCAGACCTGGAGCTCGCTAGGATACACTCACTGTCTCTCTAGCATTTATTATTTTAGCAAGTCTGTAGCACTTACCGCTGGCGTGTTGATGCAGGTTGTGACCCTTTAGGCATACACTAGTGACCAAGCGTCTTATTGGAATGGCTACATCTGGCAACTGCTAGTCTTTCCAAGCGCCACCATCTGTCCCTCGTCTTAAATTCGGCACCCGTTTAGAAGCAGCTAGTGGTCCTAGGCAACATGCATCTGCAATTATCCAGAGCTCGTTAGAAGCCACTCCTTATCTCTGTAACCTTCATTCTCTTAGTATGTCTGCATCCAATAGTTCCGCTGCCTTACCACCAATTGACCTTTAGATCTCTCTCGCGGCAAACTATTTATTTTTAACTCTTATTCTGCGCTCCCTATCGTATTATGCTGGCTACGTGCTGTTCATGTATCATTCAATCACCACCAGTCTTCTAACTTTTTTCCTCTCTCCCCACGTAATTCTTGCCTCATACTAAACTGATAGTTCGTGGATTATTTACTGGTACAACGTTCCTGTCTCTACGCAGAGGTCAGCAATCTACCCATACGGCTATTGATTCTATAGGACAATCAAAAGGCACTTTCAGTAAAATCATAGTTGCACAGTGTACATTGTTTTTCTCAACAATAAATGTTGTAACATAAAACTTTTATAATGTTTAACTCTACGCCTGTTCTTGCGGTCTCTCGGTTGTCCCTCACTTCCTCTTTTCTCCGAGGTCCGGAATTTCTTGGAGATCTGGGAGTGAACTGAGGAACAGTATTCGCCCAAGGCTGACGTAATAAACGACAATGACTTACCTGGAGCATGTCTGTATACCAAAGGGACTCAAGTGCAATCACTACCACAATCGTCGTCCAGTATGGAGAGCTAGATGCGTCTTCACACTCACGAAAAGTAAACATCTGAAACGTCCAGACAGCAGAAGCTTTAAAAGTTTGCTCACCTGGACTAACAACAAGACAACTATTCTTGATGTTCCCATCCTCAACCGGCCTCAAAAATTATGGCGGCCCTGATCAAACTACCTGTCCAGCCAACAGAGGAAATTGGAAGCCATTTGACCGCGAATAACCGAATATGAAGTCAATCGTCCAGCGGCTTTGCCAGTTACACATTAGTGTTCAAACTGCTTTACGGCAGTGTTGCAGGACGTGGTGGGTTTTCGCTTGGCAAGCGCTCTCCCAATAGAAATGTTATAATTGCGTAGATTGCCTTAGTCGTTGCCGCTGTTATAGATTGCGTAGCTACTGTTATGATTGAGGGAACGCCGCCTCTTGAGGTAATTGCGTGACAAGATTGTCGCTCGCACGGTTGGAGCACGCCTACGATGACGCTAGCTTAGCCGGTGAGACGGAAAATTGAACGAGCGTGGGAACGATCTTAGCCGCACTTGTTCGTATAGACGCTGAGGCCTCGAAAACGGACGCACACAAGAGGGGGTACGATAGACGCGCGCTAATGACTTAGACGCGAAGGCTGGCCAGCTAACGATTCACACGCAATCACGCGACCCGACCGACTCCCAACTGAGGCGAAGAGAAAGAAAAGACAAGTGGTCCTCTGTAGGCTCTTTTACGACCGACAAAGGGCGATCCCAGTCAGTGCTATGGGTTATTAAGTTAGGAAAAACAGTCCCCACGCAGAGGTGGTAGATTGCAAATGAGCATTGTCAAAAGGTTCGCAGTTGGGGCGCGCCTCGGAGTGGCTGAACACTGCTGCGTTGTGGGGAGAAATTGGACTCCGTTTCCCACAGCCATTATGCCGGAGTTACTGGCGCGTTTTTTGCGGGGATTTTTGACGGGCCCGCAACACCTCCCTTTGAAGAGAAAGAGTACCGCTTCTGGCGAGGATTGACCTGGAGGGATTTCGGTGACCTCCGGATTCTTTCTGTTCGTCGGCAAGGTGGGTTCTCGAGATGCGGCGGCGACTGAGCGGCTTCGACCGTGCTCTGTCGTTGTGTGGCCACTCCGAAAGTATCCAGCAGGATGTGCAGCGGCAGGCGCACGGGATGGCTGGTTGGCATGGAGGTTTCTTCGTGGCGCGGACGAAGTTGATTTCGATGGCGAACCCAGGTGTCATCACCTACGGAGACATCATGCAGCATGTCACCTCGCCTGGCCGTCACTGTTGCTTCGATCCAGCGAGGATGACCTGCTCTGTAATCTCGAGCGTAGACCGGGGCTCCAACGACGAATTCTTTGTGCTTGTTGCAGGGACCAGAGTGAATAGGTGGCTTCTCAGTCGGAATGAGCGCTTCGTTGGTTGTGCGTAGCTTGCGGCCCATCAATGCTTCAGCTGGTGACTGGCCTCCTGGCGTAGCTGGATTCGGTGTGGACCGGTACGAGAGCAGGAAGGCCTGAAGACACTCATCCACGGTCCCCTCCCCGCGAGATTTCAAAAGCGCCCTCTTGAAGGTGTCGACAAATCGCTCCGCTTGACCATTGGATTGGGGATGGTACGGCGGTGAGCGGTGTTCGATGCAATGTCGGCGGCAAAAGTCTTCGAAGATAGGAGACGTGAACTGGGTACCATTGTCGGACACCAAGACATCGGGAAGGCCATGTTGACTGAAGATTCGTTGGAGACAAGCCAGCGTGGCGGATGCGGTTGGTGGGTTGACGGCGACCACTTCCGGCCATTTGGAATAGGCGTCGACCACGACCAGATAGGAAATGCCATCGATGGGACCAGCGTAATCGATGTGCACTCGAGACCACGGTTTTTCTGGCGGATGCCAAGGAACAGGTGATTGGTGTGGTGGCATCTTTGAGGCTTGTGGACAACTCTGAGGCATGGGGGCGAACTGATTGGCTTTGTCATCGGTTCGGTCGTTGGGTACAGCCGGAGCACGTACTGTTGCAGATGGCCCGAAGAGGAAGATCGGCCAAGCCAAGGGTTTCGAGCCAGTCGAGACCAAGTACGTTGAGCTTCGCCTTTGTGATGTAGCAGGTCGCGTTGAACGTGACGTCTCGGAAGGAGACGGAGCAGTGCAGCCGCCCAGTTAGCTGCACGCGACCACCACAGGCGCTGGTGGCAGATTGAGAGGTCGGTTCGAAAGGTGGCTTGCCAAGGGATCGCCAGAGATCCTCGGAGATGATTGTGATGTCCGACGCAGTGTCCAACCGCAATCGGACCGACTGACCGTTGATCAGGACGTCGACGAATTTTCTCCGATCCGCAGCGTTGATTTGGAACGTGGCCAGCAGGCTCAGGGAGCTGCCAACCGGACCAGGTTTGGGTGTGCGTCTGGGTCGGGACCTCTTCTTTGGATCGCGGGTGGGAGCCAGCCCAGTTTTGGCCCCCTTGGGAGATGGAGGATGGCAGTAACCATCCCGGTGCCCCATCCTGCCACAACGTTGACCACGATGCTAGCGGAAATCGCCGTCCCGATGGAAATGCCAGGCACCACAGAATCCGCAAGCGTAGGGTGGGGACTTCGCTCTGTTGGATTGGGTGAGGCGCACGGACGATTGCGCCCTCGGTGCTGTGACTACCTGGACCATACCAGGTGCGGCGGCGTTCTGGATCATGGCAGAATCGTGCTTCAGGTTGAGCAGCGTTTGACACTCCTCGGCCAGGTTCTGGAGTGTGACTGATCCATCCTGTTGTAGCTTGGACAGGAGGCGCGTCCGGATATCGGCATCGTGTGGAGACTGGAGGCCAAAGACAATGATCAGGCATTTGAATTGGTCCTCGGTGAGCGAGCCAAGTTGAAAACGTTGGCATTCACGGTTGACCATGCCCGCGTACGTGATGAAGTCGTCGGCATCACGTTTGGCCAGCTGCTGACATTGGTAACGAGCATTGAACAGAGAGGGCTGCTCGCCAAAAGTCTGTGACAACGTTCGGACCGTGTCGTCAAAGGTAACGTCCCGTGGGTTCCTTGGCAAGATGAAATTGGTGTAACGCTGGTGTTCGAGGGTACCAAGTTTGCGCAGAAGCAGGCGGACCTTCCACGCGTCGTCCTGGCGAGCCAAGTCAACGGTGAACAGGTCCTCGTACCGCTTGTACCAGGATTCGAACGTTACCCCGGCCTTGGCGTCGTACAGAAATTGGCTGACGCCGCTAACCACCTGGTCCACTGACTGAGAATTGGCGCTCAGACCTGCATGAAGGGAAGAACTGGAAAGCTTTTCGGTTAGCACGGACATCAGTTTAAGCTGTTGCTGCAGCATCAGTTTTAAATCTGCGTATTCGTCAGTCATGGTTCGTCAACTCTGTCGCCACTGTTATAATTGCGTAGATTGCCTTAGTCGTCGCCGCTGTTATAGATTGAGGGAACGCCGCCTCTTGAGGTAATTGCGTGACAAGATTGTCGCTCGCACGGTTGGAGCACGCCTACGATGACGCTAGCTTAGCCGGTGAGACGGAAAATTGAACGAGCGTGGGAACGATCTTAGCCGCACTTGTTCGTATAGACGCTGAGGCCTCGAAAACGGACGCACACAAGAGGGGGTACGATAGACGCGCGCTAATGACTTAGACGCGAAGGCTGGCCAGCTAACGATTCACACGCAATCACGCGACCCGACCGACTCCCAACTGAGGCGAAGAGAAAGAAAAGACAAGTGGTCCTCTGTAGGCTCTTTTACGACCGACAAAGGGCGATCCCAGTCAGTGCTATGGGTTATTAAGTTAGGAAAAACAGTCCCCACGCAGAGGTGGTAGATTGCAAATGAGCATTGTCAAAAGGTTCGCAGTTGGGACGCGCCTCGGAGTGGCTGAACACTGCTGCGTTGTGGGGAGAAATTGGACTCCGTTTCCCACAGCCATTATGCCGGAGTTACTGGCGCGTTTTTTGCGGGGATTTTTGACGGGCCCGCAACAAGAAAGCCACAAATGTCTATGTAACAACACTGCGACGTGGTGGAGGTGACTCGCCACTGAATAAATTTACTGCCCACAATACCCTACTGGCAAGTCCACTAGAGTCATAGTTCAACCTTTTCTCGACGCGTACAAGGATACGATACTCTCCGTCTACACGTAGCGTTTCATTGCACTTATAGTGACTTGTCCGGTAGAACTACTCCCAAATGAACCCAAAGCATCGTTGTGAAACACAACTGCCTGGAAACATTGATCATGCCTGCTTTGGTGTGTCTCTATAAACTTGAGAATAAACTATTTATTTATTTATTTAATACGTTTCATTTACACCTAGAGCGTGCTAGACTTGTTCACCCTTTATTGTTATAGGCTTTTCGACATTACTGTACGTCCTAATACAATTCGCCGACTACCTGAGTCTTGCCATATCGGATTCCTGCTCTCTAAATTCACCCAGATTTCTGAGACATAACATCCCTTGGTTCAGCTAACCCAACTATGCGTTTATATTACCTGAAAATTTCATGGGATTCTGTAATCTTTATCAATAAGCCCTTCTTAGCTGACTCCAAACTTTGCTTATCGCGCTTTCTAGTTTCATTCCTTCTTTAACTGGAAAGCAAACTTTTCTATGATTAGCCAAATGACTGCGCTTATAAGTGAGGCAGTACGAATCAAAGTGCTCATTAACAAATTAGACCTAGTTATTGGTAGACTGGCAGCAAATGCGACGATGAGTCACCCTGAGAGCTTTTCGGAGGTTAAACATGCGGGGTTGGCTGGGAATTTCCTTAACACGAGTTGCACCGAGGTGATGCTTCAGATAAAAGGTCTAAATAAGGGAGTGGTGTATAAGGCTGCAGACCGCCTGAAATTGTTTAAAACACTGCAACGTTGCTGACGTGACGCCACTCCATAATGTCACCCACCCCTACCACCTATTGGCAGTTTGACCAGTACCACATTGCTCTTGTTCTGCGCATATATCCGACCTTATTCATCTACATATACATGTCTGCTCAGTGACATGCCACTATCTGTAGAACCTTTGTAACGGTTGGTCTACATGTTTTGCTCATGTAACTCGCACCGTGTAGGCAAATCCAACGGGGCCGCTCCTAAAAATAATCCAATCTGAGAATCGCTGTACTCCTAATATTTACAGCGCGTACTCAACGAAATAGGTTGTCTTTGCAATTCTGATTTTGCCTGCCAGGGTAAGCCTCGGTGCGCTTGTGAACAAACCCCTTTATTCTTTGGGCCATATGGGATCACCTTACTAACTACCTATGTAATAAACCTGCTTTTGGACCTGCTCAAATTACTATTATGTGCAACACTGCAGTATTCTGCTTACGGCAAAAGGCGTGCTGTGCTATGTTGAAAATAAATACGTATTTATTTATTAGTTAGATACAGATGAAAATGCTGGGCTTGAAACACCACCTTCTGCCTTGCACATCGTTGAAAAGAGGTCGCAAAGTATTAATACCCTTTTATTCAAGTTTGATGACAAGAGTTTGGCTCTGAAGTTCCTCTCTTACCACGGCAAATTTAGTATTGGCAAAATATGCCTTGTCTTAACGTCAGTACCTGCAAGCATGGCTTCGCTACGTCGTAAAGACTGCTTGAGCGTGGAACTTGCTCCGATTAAGTGTGTTCTACCGAGCTCTGACAAATATTCGGCATTGGGAACTTAAGCGACCCACTTACTGTGAAACTAGACCACTCGTCTACTATGGATACTGCATTGCAAGGTTCTCGCTTAGAAGGTTTTGCAAACCCTGCAACCAATAATATCTACAAAAGCACAATATGCAGGGTACCACGTAGCCAACCTCAGGGTGCTGCAGTAAAATTTTCAGTTAAAACTATGTGCTCAACTAAAAACAAAACTATCTCCGCAATAACGGACGAGACAATGGTTGAAAAGCACTACCACAACTATAAAATATCCCCGTTAACGCTTAGTTGGTAGGACAACATAACGACGCATGAAGCAAAACCAGCAATACCTCCATTCAGAGACCAAAGCCGCTAGCGCTACGCGCCGAACTGTCTTGTGTTTGGAAGATACCACAGAGTTAACTTGAGCCACTGGGATGCACGACACCAACGCTGAAACTATTAAGAGCGGAGGCCATAACACCCGCTTGTGCCGCGCGATGGAACGGGTCGCGTAGCGCACCAGTGTTCAATGTTCCTGACACTTTATCGGTAGACGCATTTACGCTTGCAGTCAGCACGGTTAATGGCACTGCAGTGACTCCATTGCAGCTTCAACTGCAGACAAAGCGTGTACCCAGATTTGCTACCCCATCAAATCGAATGTAAAGATGAGACCGTTTTGAGTTCATTCATAGCCAATCGTGAACAACTTTGAACCGCAACTATGCTGCGCCAGATTACTTTCGGGCCACAGCTGCGAAGCATTATTTGGGCTGCACCGAAACCTAATAACCAAACAAGTTTCAGTCAACATGGGACCGGCAAATCCATCAAAAAGCAGCGTGACCTATGGCCTCTTAGGCAACACCGTGTCTAAAACCTCCAAGGCAACTAATGCTAAATGGGCCAGTAGAGGAAACGCACCTGGAAATTTACCTATGGAGGTTATGTCCTCCATACACGCCTTGACTATAACAAAATCCGTAGCTAAGCTCTTCGCAAGCCGGTGGGGACAACGTGGGGTTCATTCTAATTGCACTCACTCTTGTGGATGACATAGCGACGGGCGATTTTAAGAGCACAATCGTTGCAGTTAATGGTATTGCGAAACATTGGATAACGGTTAAGAGAATGGCTAAAAGATTGTGCTTTCCCAGATGTAATTAAATTGAGGACAGGAGCTTATAGGGTCCTGCGCACTGTATTATCAAATTGTGAAAACGCCGCAATGGTATCCTGTTACGGTAATGGTATTTTGGTCAACCAAGACGAATTCTGCTGTATCCTACCCAAATAACAGCGTAACCACGCAGCGTACCTCTACTGCACACAAGCCACCAATGGCGAGCATTATATTTGACAATCTACAGAGCTCCGTTCAACTCGCCGCGCAGCCATGCAATTTTAAACCCGCTACATCCTACGGACGTTTGCCGTCGTTTCAGGTACCTAGGCCAAACGATACACTGTTTCCTTCTCCGCAGCACGAGCCATTCTAGACCGTGGGTGATGAGCCACAACCGGTTTACCCCGCACCAAACCTGCCACCGTCTGACCAACCACTGCAACATCTCCTTACTCACCCTAAACGTTCTGCAGCTAGTAAAGTAGCTATCAACGCCTTAATCGTGTCACCCGTTACGCTAGCATACATGGCTGGTTCTCTCACTCTTGCGTATAAATGCTAGAACACTAAACCATAAACTGCACCTGCGTCCTTTGTCCGCTACGGCTGCTCCTGATACAATACGTGTCACGGGGACATGGGTTTCCCCTAAAGCCACAGCAACTGTTTACTCACTTGCTGATTAGCAGCTAAATCTACAAGCTCGTGTGCATAAATAACGGGTGAGAGCGCTATTTATATTAAAATACTTACCCGGCAACAATTTCAAAAAATATGGATGCAGCTGAGGCACGGATCTCAGGATGGATAACGGCTGAAATCCTGAGAGCGTAGGGGTTAGTTAGGTACATGTACATGTCACGCGATAGCACCAATGAGATTGAAAGCGCACTTACTGTTAGTTAAGTGAAGGCGTTAAAGCTTTTGTGCGAATACGAACTGGCTGCTCTTCAATTATCTAATTGGTCATTCGGGATTCCTAATCTACTATTAGCTGAGGTATGACTAATTATGTCCTTACAAACGGGTCCCGCTCTCACAGCAGCTCAATTATTCTTTCACATGTCCACCATTGTGCCATTCCAATCATGAAGGCACGAACAATTTTCTACTGTCGCTGTTACAATTGCCATAAAATGTCTGTACAGTTGCACCTACCTGATCATGCCTCCACGGGCGTTCCTTGCATACTCGAGAATAGAATATTAATTTATTTACTGCAGCCTGCCTGAAAGAAACTGGTTCTTATCTGCTGCAAAAGCAACGTACGCATATCTATTAGCGTGTATTAATTTGGGCAGCTGGAGGCAACTTGTACCTGTTCCAACCAGTGTGCAACCCATTCTTGACATAATATTTACTCCTGGCTTTTCTTCAACCCATATCCCTTGGCCAGCATTTCCCAGAGACCGATCACAGATTAGTGCGTTGCTCGATCTACTTAAAGCGATCTCGTGCCTATCCCACAGAAACAGCTGCGGTCGTAGTATACCGCCTTATGTGCATCATTAACTGGAGCACCTTGATTGTGCTCGTCAACACAAGAACTTAGGATGAATTCTTTATATCCGTTTCTGTAGA